CATTAAGAATTGTATGAGTGGTGGCGAGACTGGCGAGGAGGAGGAGGTGGAGGTTGATTCAGCAGGGAAGCGGCGCGATGAGTTCCCTTTCTTTAAACCTGTTCCTACTTGCACCGCATCTGTGGCCTTGGAACACCGAGGTCTGGCAAGGAAAGGGGAGGGGAGGGGGGGACACTGGGCAACGTCCGTGATGATGGGAGACGCAAGAGTAGGTGGAGATTTTGCTCCTCTGTTTCTATGGGATACGTCTAGGATTTTTAGAGCTCCATCTGTGCATAATTTTGAAGGAGGATTCAGGAATTCGTGTAATACTCATAAAAATCGGGGGCTGGATGGTGCTTCTCTTTTTGCCAAGGGACTTGTAGCCCACAGAGAAAAAGCTGTTTCCGCTGTGCGAGACTGTAGTAACTTCAGCACTGCTGCCCTGGTGTCAGAGTAATGTAGGTTTGCGTTCTAAAAAGTTGATTTTTAAAAGTACAGAGAAGTTGATTGCCGAAAAGTATGCCGTCTGTTTCAGTGGGAATACTCTTGAAAATTCATTTCGCATATTTAGAAAATAATGCTTTTCATATTAAATCTCAGGAAGCAATTATCCTTGTGCACTAGATACGCAGTGAGAACTGAAATTCTCTGGCCTTTCAAATGCAAAGTATCCCAAGAAATTGTTGCCCAGAGAATCCTCAGGCAGCTGCAGTTTCCCTCCCCCTTGTGATGAAGAGCACTTCCAATTTTTTTCTACTTTTGGGGGTGTGTTCTTTGCAGGTAGGCTTACCTGCATTTGATATTTTCTATACTAATGTCTGATTAACTGTACTTTCAAGATACTTGCAAAGTGATTATGAAAGAGGTTCAGGTTAGCAATTACAGCATCTGGAGTGTACGTACACTTAAAGATAGTGCTTGTCACACCTTAAGTGACATTTTCGTTGACCTTTTCTGTCTCAAAATGTAGTAATACAGGAGACCTTGAGCAACATCTTTTCTACTGTTATTGTCTCGGGAGAAATCAAGCGAAGGTAAACAGAAATGTAACAGGTTTATTACTGTTATGTAAGTTTATTGTGGTAGCTAAATCTTTACTTCAAGTGGGATTTGAGTGATGTAGACAGATCTAATTCTTCAATCATGAAAACTTTCCTTACTGCACATAACAACACAGTAAAGGAACTTACTTGAATGTTCCTGTTGAGGTGCTCACATCATGCAGGTACTTGAGTTAGCTATTAGTTAATTACATTCAGTAATCCAGTGCTTGGGATTGTCGGTGTTAGTACAGCCGTGTATCATCCTGGAAGCTTTAGCACAAATACTTTACAAAGTGGAACAGATTCTGCCAATAAGCCATGCAGTTCTGTGGAACTTGGATATTCCCTGGCTTTTAGCCCTGTATCTTTTTGAAAGTTAACTGGCACTTGACTTTTCCTGAGCTGGGAATTTCAGCAGGTCTGTTTAACACATTTCCAGTGATTCTGGCATGTTAAACTCATGGCAAATGGCCCTTTCAGGTGCTCTGCCTCACCACTGTGGTTTTGTGGAAAAACAAGATAGTTGTTGATAGCTCATAACTTATTTCACACCAGGTGTGATTAATGCGATCACATGCTGTAATTAAGATGATGTAATACGGAATCATGGAAGCAACTGAATTTTTTGAAGCTAAGGAGGACACACATTTTTTTTTTTGACATCTCTGCTTCCCAGCAGCAGGAGGGAGAAACCACCCATCCCCCTGTGCTGGAAGTGAGTAATTGAGATAACCCATGGCAAGAGCTCTGGGGCCTCTGAGATGGTGCTGCATGCTCTGGATGGGGTCCTGTGCAAGCAGTGCTGTCTGAGAGCAGAGGCAGGTTCCTGCACTGAAAAGGTCTAATGCGATAGCATTAGTTTGTAAATCATTTGCTTGCTGTGGAAATGGCTCGTTTATCTGACTTCCCCTAATTCTAATTATCACAAGGCGTAATTGGAAGCTGTAGTGTTGTGATGTTAAAAATTGTAGAAGTTGGTTGTGAAAGCTGAACTGTGTATTTGAAAACGTAGGGTAATGCCTCGTGTGTTTGCAGCAGTTAGATCTGGAAAAGGTTTTGGGTGTCAGAGAGAAGAAGTTGCTAGAAAATACTACCAGAGTGCAGTGCCCTCAGTGATGGAGAGGAAGCAGGAAGCAATCGAGTGACCTTTATGCATTCATTAAACAATTACACCAGAGCTGTATGAAATCTGGGTTTCTCTGTTACTGCTGAATGGTCATAGGCAGATCGGTTGCCTTTTGGGGAAGAGTTGTATTTCAGGCCTGTGATGTGAAGGTGTGGTGTTAGTAACTTCCAGAATAGAAGAGAACATTTCCAAAGGCAGTGTGTGAGGGCCCACATGGTGGCTGGGGCCTGAGCAGCGTTTGCAGATACAAGGGGGTGTTCAGTGGCAGCCAAGAAGCTGCAGGGAGCTGTGGATTACAGTGGAGCTTCCCAAGCAAGCCCTGAGTGCCTGGGAGCTGTTCCCGGGTCTCTGCCTTTCTGCCTGTTTGCTGCTTGTAGCTGGTAGTTCTCAGTTGTGCAAGCACTTCACAGCTCGTTCAGCTCCCGGGTTGTTTGATGTTTTAGGATTGTTGCTAAGGGCTCTTAAGAGTGTGAATGTGGCCCTCTCAGGCTCAAGGGTTGTTGAGTCAAGAGAAGCTGGTAAAGATCAGGGTTTTGAATTAGAATCCCACAGGCTTTTTAGGTTTTTAACCTGTGACCCAGAAGTAACTATCGGTACCTTTCCTTCATGATAAGATCTGTAGAGCATTTAGGCTTTTACAGAATTCCTTAAATGCAGTTGGAGTGACAACAGTTGCAGTTGCTTGCCGTTTCTAAACTAATTTACAAGGAACAAAATAACTAGAATTCCACTTCAGGTTCTGGCGCTCCATGCAGTAATGCTGTTGTTTAACACATCCATGTTCTGTTGCTTGAATTTTTGTGGGTGTTCTAAAGTACCATGGAAATAATTTGTGATGTTTTCTTTTAAAGATGATTTTTTTTTCTTTTTTTAAACTTAGAGCATGTATATCTTTAGGATCCAAGACCCGAGCCATTGGGAATGCAGCAAAGAGCCAGGTAAATGGTTCAAAAACTTTTCTGGCTAGTAAACAAGTTCATCTTGGGAAAGATTGTCCTGGAGTAGGTTCTTTTGATAGCTTAAATATTGTGTTCACTGGGATTTGTTTGTTTTGGTCCTTTCTTTGTTTAAAAGCCTGTCCTGAAAACAACTAGGTTAAAACACTGATGAGAGAGTAGGTGTGGGAAGGTGTTACATTCAGATGGGATCTGAATTAGAGGAGAACTTTAAAGGAAGGGAAATGTGTTAATTTGTTGAAGGTTCATTTAAGGTTAATGTTGGTAATAACTCCACTAATTCCTGCAGGCAGCCACTGCAACAATATAGGATCTTAAATATTCCATGCTGTATCAGAAAGCTTCTCTAAAATAAAAAGTGCAGTGAAAATTGATGGCAGCAAATTAATGGATATGTCAGAGAGAAGTACATATTAATTTTTCTAACAGAGGCCACAGATTAAAAAGTAGATGATTCTTTCTGTCTCCTCACATTTTGCTTCTCAGTGAATGTGTGGGGCTTGACACAGGTCAGTGTGTGCATTAAGCCCAACATAAAAATTCCTTTCTGCACAGTCCTCTGTATCAGAATGTCATGGGTAATGAAAATAATCTTTGCCGCAGATTGTCACGAACGTAAAAAATGCAGTACATGGCTTTAAGAAACTGCATGGAAGAGCATTTGAAGATCCTTACATACAAGCTGAGAGGGCCAAACTTCCCTATGAACTTCAGAAGATGCCAAATGGTTCAGTAGGAGTAAAGGTGAGTGAGAGCTTTGGGTGGAATCTCTCTGGTGGTGGAGGTGAGCACTTAGGGCCCTTGTCACTTAACTTCCTGTGTGGTCACTTGTGTTTTCCTTAAGAAAACCAGATACATGCATGTGTCTCTGAATAAATCTGTACTTTCTCCAAGATGTCCATGGAGACTTCTTATCAATCATACTGGTTTTCCATAGTCGCATTAGCTTTTCACTTGACCTTACTAGATTTACCTTCAAATCTGTGTAATTACAGTGTGAGATTTAGTTCCCATCAGACATGCAGAGACCGAGTGTCAGGAAAACAGCCTAATGCTCTGAATATGAGATTTGAACAAGTCGTTTTTAATTTGCTTCCAAACTAAATGGCAGGAGTGCTTGGGATTGCTGGAGAGACAATGGCTTGTTAGGAATTCAGGGCACAGAACCTGCCATGAAGGCTGAAGATTCAACTGCATTTCCTGAGCAGGGCAGGACTGTTGGAATTGCCTGGAATACACCTTCCCTGCCTCCTGTGCTTGAGACACTGTTGCAGGAAGCAAATGTTCCTTGGGCTTGCTCCAAAGCTTGTATTTTTAGATTGTGTTATAGGACAATGTGATCTTACATGTATAACACTCCTTTTTTGCTGCTGTTTTTTAAATTCAAAATACACAGGCAGCAGAAATACTGTATCATTGTGAATAGTCTCTTGAGATAACTGAGATATTAAGCTTCCCACAAAAAAAAAACCCAAAAAAAACCCCCAAAACAAAACTGAACTGTTGAAGATTTGTTGTAGGGAGCACAGATCAATTGACAGGGAGTTAGTTGAGTCTAGAACCTGGTGTTCAATGGGTCTGAATGCTCAACATCAGGAATAATGTCCAAGCTGCCCATCTTGAGAGCAAAGTTGAGGTGATTGATCCAAGAATCCAATTCTCTGTTTCAGGTGAGGTACCTGGATGAAGAGAGGCTGTTTGCAGTGGAACAGATCACAGGAATGCTGCTGGCCAAGCTGAAGGAGACTTCTGAAAGTGCTTTGAAGAAACCAGTGGCTGACTGTGTGATTTCAGTAAGTTGTGATATATATATATGGCAATCCATAGGCAGCTTTATGCAAGCTAGGGCCATTTATACCGTGGTGCAATGCTAGGAGGCACAAGTAGTGGATAGAAATCTTATCCCCAAAAATAGGCCTTTTTTATAGGTTCTCCAGATGAGAATACTTCTTGAAGAGCATGTGTGAGGAGATTAAAAAGTTGTTACATTGAGAGTGTATTTTCAGAAAGGACACAGTGCTTAAACTGATCCAGTCTGTCTGTCTCCAAGGGCTACAGACAGTATTTCTGATTACTGTAGTTCTAGTTACAAATGAGAGCTGTCGTAGGTGTAAGCATATCCTCCTTGCTTCCAAAGAAACTTCCTAAATGCATGTTAAATTTCTTTCTTGTTACATGGGTGAGCACTGTTGTAGTGCAGTTGAGAGTCACCTGAACTTAGGGCTCTGAGGGTCATGCTGATAATTTGACACACCCAAACTACTTGGCTTTGTTTGAAAAAGTGTTTTTGTTTTGCTGGGTATGAAGCCCTGTGTGTGCTTTTCATGTGGTCTTTGTTTACTGGCCCTGGTGGGAAGTTTGGGCATGAAGGATTGCAGTTAATCCCTTCTCTGTCAGGCAGAGACATGGGAACTGGAAAGCTGTGTACTTCAGCTGTTAGAAGTCTGCTTTGATCTTTTTCCTTGCTTCCTTGCGCCTTAGGAAGACACTGGGAGAATACCTCCCACACACCCAGGGATCCTTGGCAATGCCCCACAGTGGTAGCCAGCAAAACACACAACAAAATGGAGCTCTACGCTTGCTGAAGAGGTGCCAGCTGGTTGCAGCCAGATCCTAACTGGGCTCTGATGATGCTGTGGCTATTTTTGGTGGCACTGAACCTTGTAGCACGCTGTAAGCTGGCACTGTGGTGACTGTAAGCTGGCACTGTGGTGGCAGTGATAGCTGAGAAATGGATACAGGTTCAAGTTTGATTCCAGCAGTGCTGCAGTGCTTCTGCCATTGGTTTACTGTAGGGCTGTGTGTGGATATTTGTTGGGTTGACTTTGTCCTGAACAAATCAGAAACTGGTGATGATTTTAAGATGAAAAACTCATTAAAACAATCTGAGAAAGCATTTTCAGGATTTTTGCTTTTTTTGTTTTTTTGGGTTTTTTTTGGTGTGGGTGTTAAAATCTGCTTTATTTAAAACAACCCTGGATGCCACCTCATTTTTGTTGTATTTTGAACTTCTAATTAAAATATGCACTCAAATGAATTAGCTAGCTGTTTCAGACAGCCTTATTAATTTGAGGTAGGCTTTTAACAGTTTCTTGTGGTCATGCCATTTATAGGATAGCTTGATGGGCAAGTCTGACTACTCTGAATTAAAAAATCCATATCCCATAATATCCAATGACATTATTTTTTGGAAACAGGTCCCTAGTTTCTTCACTGATGCTGAAAGAAGGTCTGTAATGGCAGCTGCACAGATTGCGGGATTAAATTGTCTGAAGCTGATGAATGAAACTACAGCAGGTAAAGGGCTGGGACTTCTCTTGTTCTTTGAGGCCGTACAGGCTGTTGAATGTGAGGGTGATGACACCCTGCTGTTACAAAATTGGGAGTTTGGGAGAAAGCTGTCCAGGCTAGTACTGCCCAATCCAGTTTGGGAACTGGAAACACAACAGTGGGGTGGTGTGCAGCACTTGGGAGGCACCATGAGAGCTGGGGTTTGCTAGCCTGAGCATGGTCACTATGGGAATAGCTTTGGAAATAAACTTGGGATCTGTGCTTAAAACTGTGGCAATCCTGTCAGCTGTAGCAAAGGCACAACTGCTTTTATAAAGTAATTTATAAAAGTAAATTCCCTCTTCTGGTTTTGGTGAGTTCTAAGGTAGAGCATAGAAATACATAACACTTGACGGGGACTAAAGCTGGAGCTGCTTAAATCAGTAATTTTTATTTTTCTTGATTCTCTTTGCTTTTGGAAAGTCTCAAAAAAGCTTTCCAAGTGAGAGCTGGTAGTGAAAGCTTGGACTCATGTAAATTAGTCTTCCAAAACAATTTCTGTATTTCCTTGGGCATGCTTGAACTTCAGCTTTGAAAAGTAAAAAATTCTGAAAGTAAGGCATTTCAAGGGAGAGGTGTAGGCATGAGTCTTAATCTGTGCCGCTTCACAAATTGCAATGTTAATTTGTCTACAAGCAGAATTGAAATGCAGGGTGAGTCTTTATTAGTGCCATACCTTCACGTGACATCTCCTCTCTTGTCAGTGTAAAATGTGTTTCCAACGTGGTTTTGACTTTTTAGTAAGAGTTATGAAGGTGTTTAGAAAGGGTAAACATGAGCAGTGTCTGTCTCTTGGTGCTTTTAATGCATGGTCTGCAGCTGTGTGTGGCTTCCCCTTACATTCCATGGGTTGGTGTTTTCCAGTTGCATTAGCCTATGGAATATACAAGCAAGATCTGCCAGCCTTGGAAGAGAAGCCAAGAAATGTGGTCTTTGTAGATATGGGGCATTCTGCATATCAGGTTTCCATCTGTGCTTTTAACAAGGGAAAACTGAAGGTAATCTTTTAAGTCATACATTAAAAGCCTGAAGTATTTAAAACTCAAAATACTGCTCTGTGGAAAGATTAGATTTTTTAAAAAATAAGTGTCTATAGAAAATATTCTTAAACGTGGAATACGAAACCTTTGTGTTAGATTTTGACTATTTCATCAAGTCAGTTTTTGTAAAATGCAGAAGTGAAGTATGCTAAAGTGTGTTTTGGGAAGTGCATGACAATTGAGGACACTGCACAGGTTTTACCATATCCCTGAAGTATTTGCATATTCAGGGAGCCTCCTAAGCGTTGTAGTTGTGCAGCTGACTCACTCATGGGAGATTCTTGAGTTGCCTTGAGTCACTCTGAGATGTTGGGGTTTTTTTATTTTTTTTGGTGCCATCCATGACAGTTCAAAGTCTGAATCCAGTGGGATGTGAAGTAAAGCTGAGCAGTGTTTGCTTTCTGGCTTGGAGAGTTTTTTGTCTGTGACCTACTAAGAGCCTAATGCTTTTGTGGGCCTGTCTCTGGTCGCCAGTGCCACCTGAAGCTGTGTGGAAGGCGATGATGTCACATCTTGCTGCACTGAGTAAATGACACAGAACAAACCTTGGCTAATAACTTGTGATCTTGTTCTTTGACTTCTGCCAGGTCTTGGCCACTACCTTTGACCCTTTCGTAGGTGGTAGGAATTTTGATGAGGCTTTGGTAGATTACTTCTCCGAAGAATTTAGGACAAAATACAAACTGAATGTAAAAGAGAATCCCCGAGCACTGCTGCGATTGTATCAGGAATGTGAAAAGCTCAAGAAGCTGATGAGTGCGAACGCATCTGACCTTCCACTCAATATCGAGTGCTTCATGAATGACCTGGATGTCTCCAGTAAGATGAACAGGTACTGGGCGTTGTTCCTACTGAGGGGCAGAGGGTTGTGGTCTCTGAGCAGCCTGGTAACGCCAAGCACTCTCCCTGCCCTGCAGAGCTCAGTTTGAGCAGTTGTGTGCTGCCCTTCTGGCCAGAGTGGAGCCTCCTCTAAGAGCAGCCATGGATCAAGCCAGTAAGTAGAAGTTACTTGAGGTGCTGCTAGCAATCCAGTCATTCCTGATCTCTTTAATGATTATCTTTTCAATGTATTTTTGTATTTATTAGAATTGCAAAGCTAAATACTGAAAAGTTAAATGTAAGTTCCATTCATATGCTTGCCATGAATGCATGATCCCATTCCCGCCTCATTTAGTGCACATGCTACTCTGCAACCTTGGTTATTGACCCTCGTTCACCCTGTGTCATGGAAAAGGTTGGCACTCTGAATTTATTAAAAAGCACCAAACAACCAAACCAAAACGATGATGGTAAAAGGTATTATTCTTTACTGCAACCTTCTGGCCAGCCTGTTCCATGTGATACTTATATATCCTCACTGACCTGGTCATTTGGCAGTATATTCTTAAATTGAGTTACCTAAAGCATGTGCCAATAACAAAGTAATTTTTTTATATTATTTTAATTTTTTTTGTCTAATATAATGTGGAGGAGAGAATTTAGACTTTTAATAGGAAAGGTTTTTCCCTCAATTCCATCACCTTCAACTAAAAGAAAGGGAAGAATTCTGGTCATCTTGTGACTTGGCTAGATAGCAAATACAGGAATTAAAAAGCTGAGTAACTGCAGAACAAAGCTGTTCAAGGACTGACAGTTGTTTGAGATGACTTCATACACATATCCTGATTTCAGAATTAAAAAGTTAACCTTCAAGCACACTATGTTATTTCTTAGATACATTGGCTTAGAAAGGTTTTCTTCTCTCTTTTGGCAAGCAAAATTCAGCCAGACATAAAATGAGAGCTATTTGGGTTTAATTTTGTTGGTTTTGTTTGGGAGAGGTGAGGTATTGTCCAATAGTGAAGAAAACCCAATTTCACCCTTATGAGTTTAGGCAAAGCAGAAAGGGGATGCACGTGGACAACACACTTAAAGGACAGCTGTTCTCATTCCATGCAAGAATGCTTGGCTTCTGGTTTCTCAGGTTTATGCAGCTAGAAAACTTTGTAGCCTGTAGTAGAGACAAAGAGTTTTAAAGATCTTGTCAGCCATGAAATACATTCAGTGCTTGTCACAGTGTCTAGATAACAAGAGAACTTTTATCTTTATTTCTCTTCTTTTTTTGTCCAAAGATAGCTTTCTGATATGTTGATGATAACTTAAGGGCATGCACTCTCTTTTCTAGAACTTCAGCGTGAAGATATCTACAGTATAGAAATAGTAGGTGGGGCTACTAGAATTCCAGCAGTGAAGGAACAGATCTCTAACTTTTTCTGTAAAGAGATAAGCACCACGCTAAATGCTGACGAAGCTGTTGCAAGAGGCTGTGCCTTGCAGGTATAGTTCCTGAAATAAAACTTTAGTATTGCTTCTTTAACATAATGTACTAATGAAATACAGCTAACCACAAGCAAAATGTACTGCAGCTGAAACAAGATGCAGAGTCTTACTCGTTCTTTCACTAACTGGTGACTGTGACCATATCAGAAATGATTCTGTTACATTCATTAATTTGCTGCTGTGTCATGTTAGAAGGATGGACTTGTTAAAAAGACCTGGTAAATTCTGCTGTTGCATTTCTGTGTCATCACCTGGAACCTTTGCTGGGTATCTTTACTGAAAATCATTGAGGAAATAACATCTATTACTTTGGTTAAGTCTTTCAATTTAGTTAACTCTACAAAGTTTCTGTTAAAAAAAAAGTCTGTGATAAGCAGGGCCTCCATATGGCCTATATGATAAGTATTAATTCTTGTACTTGCTGTTTACTTGACTGCATGGATATAATAAACTTCTGGTCTTTTTGGTTTTTTTTCCCCAGTGTGCAATTCTTTCTCCAGCTTTTAAAGTGCGTGAGTTTTCCATCACAGATGTTGTTCCTTACTCTATAACATTGAGATGGAAATCATCTTATGAAGAAGGAACAGGGTAAGTTGTACAGTGCCTACAAAACCGAGTGTGTTTGGATATAAAGAAAAACGTTGAGCTGTGGAAAAAAATAGGCTTCAGGCTTTGAAGCTGTTGTGCACTTGTACACTTGAAATTTTAATTTTCTTTTTTAGCATTTTACCTTTTGGGTTCCAGTTACTGCTTAACAATGGGAAATGCAATTAAATTAAAATGTTGGGGTGAATTTGCCTAATTTTTAATAAGTGTGACAAAATGCAGCGTCCAGCTTTGAGACCTAGAGGCTTTCAACCTCCAACTCTTGTTAAAAACTGACCTAAACTAAATCACTGTTGCCTAGTTAGCAGTTGATTGTTAACATACCTTGACTTTGATTATCCATGAAATTATGCTCAGAGGTTTAATGTTATCTAATGTTTATTGCTTTAGGGAGTGTGAAGTCTTCAGTAAGAACCATGCTGCTCCATTCTCAAAAGTAATTACTTTCCACAAGAAAGAGCCTTTTGACTTGGAAGCTTATTATACCCATCCACATGAAGTGCCTTATCCTGATTCCAGAATAGGTAAGGACATGGGAATAAAATCCCCATCCCTAACTCCTGTTGATACAGGAAAAAGTGGTTCTTCTTTTTTGTAAGATGTGTTATTTCCCTATTTTCTAGCTTACAGAAAAACTTGGGTTCTTTAGAAAGTCTCAGCACAGGCTTCCTGATTTAAATGTAGTGAGCAAAACCATATTGACATCTCTGTTGGACATGACTGAAAAAAATTCTTTGTTCTGCCTTCCATCTATCTTTACAGTTTCTGAACGCTCCAAAAGAAGTAGGCACTAAGAGTTCAGTGCTCTGTTGTCTGGTTCTTTCAGTCTCTGTAAAACTGATAAAGATCTTATGTGCCTGCCAGCCTGGATTTTTCAAAGAAATTGGATCAAAGGAGCTGTTGCCTGTCTGGACAGATAACTTGTCTCATGTGATCTGTCACGTCTCTTTCTGTTAACCTGAGAATATAAAATACAGGTGTTTCCTCAATTTAAGCATCTGTAGTAGAGTCTGAAGAATTAGGTGGCATAAATAAGTTTCTTGTTAGCTAATGCCACCTTACTTGCAGTTATTAGTACACTCCTTGGCTTTTTTAATTCATTATTTTATTCACTGATTTATTAATCAGGTACTAATGTATTGCTGTATATTCGGCTGTCTATGCAAGAAGTCTGTGGTCTTGAGGAAGAAAGATTCTTCTTTACATATGCACATCATCTATACTTAAATTTTCAGCAAGTTTCAAAATAGATTTGAAACCATGAATCCCCAAGTATCAATCCCACTGCTTTTAGAAACCTTGCTAAGCACTGATCATTCTCCAAAAAATGTAGTGTAGCCATGTTACCAAATTCAAACAGAATATTTTATCTCTGCTAACGTTTTATTTTTCAGTGTGAAGTTTGAGTTACGTGGACAAAAGAATCCATTTGAGATGAATCAGAGTAGTTTCTCTAGTGTGGTGGTTACAGAAGGCAGCAGAGAAGTAGAACACCTAGAAAAGTATTGTCTTGTTTTTTTATGGAATAGAGATAAAGCAAAAACATCTTATTAATTATCAGTGAACTGGTAATAACTGGGGAACCAGCTTTTAGTTAATCTACCTGCAGCTTACATTGTAGGATTGTCAACTACGTAGAAAGTTTCCAAGTAGTTTCAGTTATGTGAAGTTGCTATTTAAGTTAACACCCGTAAAGGAATGCATTTGGGGGTTTTTTTCCCTCTTTCTCTGCATTTTGGTACAACAATTAAAGCCACCTCTGTTGTTTCCAAGGGCGTTTCACTATTCAGAACGTTGGTCCCCAGCACGACGGCGACAACTCCAAGGTGAAGGTGAAAGTGCGCGTCAACATCCACGGGCTGTTCAGCGTGGCCAACGCGTCCATCATAGAGAAGCAGAGCATCGAGGGGGAGCACAACGACACCCCCATGGACACCGAGTCAGCAAGTAAGAACCAAGGCAGAGATGAGGAGCTGGTATGTAAAGCTTGTAAACATCTACACTGTCATTCTGACACCAGAGCCGATAATTGCAGGGTAAATCACCGTGCTCCGCTTCTGACAGTTACTGCTTCTCCACCCTTAAATTACCGCTTCGGTTATGCAACGCGTTTCTTCATGTTTATTGCTTAAGTGCTGGTGAAGCGTGGCACTAAAGAACAAAGAACGGAAAAAACGGATTCTTAAAAAATGAAATCGTTTTTTCATTGTTTTTCATCATCCCTCTAATAGTCTTAGCGTTATCTAGTGTCACCAGCAAAAGGCAACATATTTAATGAGATCTGTTGACAAATTCCAAAGGTTTTTCTTTACAAACTATGTTTTCAATGAGTAAAAAAAATATATGCTATTTCTTTATACATGGAAAGCTGCACTGCCTCCTGAAAGTAGTTCCCTGTGAGGTGCAGCTGTGCCCCTTTGCAGTGCAGAGTTGAGGTCTGGGTGCCAGGGAACACTTTGGAGCTGGAAACAGCAGCACCAGCGCTGGCCCTGGCAGCATTTCTCCTAAGATTTGGCCTTAGCTTCTCCCACTTTAGTTGGATATTCTATAGGAATTAGAGCAAATGGTTACACAAGAAGCATTACATAATTGGTGTAAGCAACTTCTTAAATACTGTGCCGCTTTCCAGGAATGCGGGCATATTTGAAATGCTGAACATGGTGCAGGTCCTTGTGAGCAGGTGCTCCATACATGATGTTTGTAATCCAGTGAGCAAAGGTTGGAAGTGCTAGAGCTGACATTTGGAGTAAGAGGCATGTGGAGCTTACTGGGAGTGTGCTGAATTCAGAATGTGAGAGTAGCTGCTTCCATGCTCAGGCTTTCTGTTTGTAGCACTTCATGAATCTAACACATCTTCTGTTTTACGATGGTGCTTGTCAGCAATTACCTTTCAGTATTGAGGATGATCCCCTCGACTCTGAGGAGGAGGTTTGTGGTGTCTATGTGTTCTATTATTCCCTCTCTAGCTATTTCCTGTAGGCAAAGCAGTTCCTTCCAGTTGTTGGCTTTTCTGTGTGAACAGTAAGAACAGCAAATGAGTACTTAGATATCACTTATTTTCTACTCTGAAGTGACAAAACTTTAAATTTGGTAGAACTAGCCTTCTTGTTTTCCACTTCAAATTGCAACCTGTGCTAGAGTTTGAAATCCTTAAACAATTGTTTTTATTATTTTGCAGAACTAGTAGTAAATTATTCTACATGCATATGTAGTTTGTGAATTCCTTGTAATGGAGGCAATCTTGGGCCTTTCAGACCTTAGCTACAGCTTGTTAGTTATTAATGCTCTGGATCTCTGATGATTAGAATCATCCTGGAAACTTCAGGCTTACCCATTACTGTGTCATTAAAAGTGTTTTTCAGTGATGACATGGGGCTGTATTACTTAAACCACGTGATCTGCATTAGTAATTTAACAGTCTTTCAGACTGTTAAATTTAGAATAAGGCATAAGTGATGAACTTACTGAAAAATTTAAGTCAGGCTCTCTTTATTTTGGGTGGCAAGGAGGGAAGATAGTTGCCCATGTACTCCCAAGAGGCTGCTACTACAGATGCTAATTTTTATTGTTTTCACTGTCTTGTGAGACAGGTGCAGGTAATAATTGCAGTAATTAAATTACTTCTGCTTTGGTTTGCAAACTTTAAAGTTTTGGTCAAAAATGACAGGAAGTCAAAGTTCTGGCTGTTCCATAGAGAATCCATTGTTGTTTCCTTTGTTGGTGGTGTGTTGCTAGAATGTTCTTTGATTTCATTTTATATGTATTTGTTTCTATTTTTAAGATTGATTCTGAAATTCATGTGTTGTTTGTGATTTGCTGTAATTGATACCAGTCTTAAATCTTACAGCAAACCTTTGCATTCAGTTATGTAACTCTCTGCAGGATAAAATGCAGGTTGATCAAGAAGAAGGTGTGCAGAAAAGTCAAGCTGAACAACAGAACCAAGCAGATGAGGAAAGTGAAAATGCTGGAACTGAAACAAAGGTTTGTATTCAGTATTGATATAACATATTTTTTGCCCTCTATTCTCACATTTACTGATTTTGCTAGTTGAAAAACATGGGACTGTGTTTAGAGAACAGCTATATTGAAATGGTTAAGTAAAGAATCCTACCATAGCACTTCAAAGTTTTAATCATGCTACATTGGAAACTGAAGTAGGTTTCTGCTGTTTAACTTGGTTTTACAGTGAAGATGGAATTTAGGATGATTAGGAAACGTTGTAAAGAATAATATGCAGTGCTTTAAGCTTTTCAACAAGTTTTTTTAACAGTTCTTTAAAGAAATTAAATTTCACCTGCTTGGTTCCAAACTGAGGTAATAGTGATTTTGAATACAGAGGAATAATTAGGTCCTTAATTTACATAAGATTAATTTGTAGCTGTCTTAACTAGTTTCTTTGTCTCTTTTTTGAGCATAAATGTTCATTCCTGGAGGTTTCTCAGTAGTGTCACTCTTTTCATAGGCTTCTTCTGGAGAAAAGCAAGATCATCCCTCCCAGCCAAAGGCTAAAACAAAAGTTAAGAGTATTGACCTCCCTATACAGGCGAGCCTCTATAGGCAGCTGGGACAAGATCTGATCAATTCCTATATAGAAAATGAGGTAAGCAGCATAAAGAGGTGGCCACTCAAATTAATGTCACTGTAAATAAGTATCTAAAAAATACTTGTAATCATCAACATAGCTTATTTAGAATTCTTTAGGAAGTTGCCCTTAATTATAACGGGTTTTGTGGTTTGGGGTTTTTGGTGAAATGACTCAATTTCTCTGGACTTTCCTTAGCCCATTGTGGTTGTGCTTGTAGTGATGACTTACACAGAGGTGAACGTTTTTATCAATAATTGTGAATTACCAGGCCTCTGCCAAGTTCTCTGGTACAGTTTCAAGAGTAGTGACTAAGCTGAACACTTAAAAATGCTTTCAGTTTTAAGTGTGCCTTGCTCCACCCTAGGGGAAGATGATGATGCAAGACAAGCTTGAGAAAGAACGAAATGATGCTAAGAATGCTGTTGAAGAATATGTGTATGAATTCAGAGACAAACTGTGTGGAGTCTTTGAGAAATTTATCACTGAAGAGGTAAGACTCACCTATATGCTTCAGCTGTTGGAAAAAGTCCCTTTGTATTTATAAATTTTGTGTGTGTTTTGTGGAGGCTGCAGGGGTCTCTTGGACTAGTTTTGGAATAGGAGATGCCTTGACTTCCCAGCAGTGAAGCTCAAGTTAACGCTTACACCTGGCATTTGACTTGCAGAGTTCTTTACTGCCTCAGAAGCTCCTCAGTGGTAAGGAAGGGTCAGGGAAGCAGGAAGAAAGTAAAAACCCTGTGGTCAGCATAGGAAAGTAGGACAGATCACCATGAGCTTCTGAATGGCATGAGTAGGTAGGAGTAAAAAGGAAGTGAACAGATGATGTGGAACACTCTTCAGAGGTGCATGGACTGTCTTAAATAGCCTCAGGACTGATTTTATAACTGGTAAACTTCACCTGCAAATCACATGAGTAGGGCTGTCCTGCCTCTTTAATCACTGTAAAATCTTGGCTTTGAAGTCTGTTAATTACTGTTTTTCTTCATTCTCACTTTGAATATTTTAAGCTGATGAAGCAGTCCTGTTTTGAGTAGGGTGGGTTTTTGCCAGGGAGAGAAGTCTCATTTGATATGTTCCATTCTGACTTGGAGTGTCCATAACTTGCTTTGTAGGATTCAAACAAGCTGACTTTGATGTTAGAGGACACAGAAAACTGGCTTTATGAAGATGGAGAGGACCAGCCAAAACAAGTATACATGGATAAGCTTCAGGAATTAAAGGTAAGATTTTAACTTGTTTTCTAGAAAACTCATTCATGAATTTTTGGGGGTGGGTGTTCAGGTTGTGTATGTTCAGTTATGAAATGAGCAGAATGTTTAGATCTAGAAGTACAGTTTAATGTGAGTTGTGTTCCTAATTTGCAAATGGTTGAACTGAAGCAGACTGTCGCTAATGACAATAGATCTAATTGCTGTGGGAATTTTGTCAGATTTCTTACAGTCTGAAAGAGGCTTTTGAGTAGTTAGGCTGCACTCCTGGGTGATGAGAATTAAGTTCCAGTATATATATTCTGTTTTCCTGTTCTCAGTGATCTTCTGCAGATGCATAATAAGACCAATTTTTGGGTCTAATATCCAGCAGTAAAGGCTCTGGAGTGCTTTAACAGTAGCTTCCATTGTATCATTTGATTATTGATGACAAACACCCCCTAAATGCTTCAGATTTTAAGGATCTGATGGGGAAAATGTGAGTTCTGATGAATAGCTACCCACTTCCTAGTAAGCTGAAGTAGGTGTCTAGCCCCTGGGTTCCAGCTGTTTACTCTGCAGTCACATTTCCTCAGGGGGAGGAATAACTAATGGAAACAGCAGTGTAGATCCAGGCAACTGCCGGGATACCACCATTCAAGAGAAGGAAAAAGCAAACAGTGGATAAAATTAAAAGTTTTCAGATGAACTACTTGAAAATTAAAGCATCTGTTAAAGCCTAACTGGTTTCTGTGACAAATGCATTGTTCCAAACGCTTTTCTTGCAGAAAACAGCAAAATACCAACCCTAGAAAGAACAGTTACTATTCCTATGTTTTAACTTCTGCTTTTTTTTGTTGTTGGACTAAAGCAATATACAAAGACTTGGCTCTTTGAATGGGTGAGAAAAGGAGTTAAAGGCAGCCTTCCTTCCCATGCTGCATTTTATTCTTAGAGCAGACTAAAGGAAATGCGTGTTCTGTAAAGATCTTTATGCTTACTATTCCAGAAATTTGGACAGCCTATCCAGGAAAGATGCATGGAACACGAAGAGAGACCAAAAGTTCTAAATGAACTGGGAAAGAAGATTCAGCTCCTTATGAAAGCAGTAGAAGCATACAAAAATAAGGTAAAGCCAAATGATTTCAGCTATTCAGTGATTATAGGTGTTTTGATTTTGGCTGTAGAGTCTTTTGTGTTTAAACAAATCCTGTAAAGTTTCCTCTTGCACTGCTTTAGAAGGGCTGTTGTACTTCTAGAACTTTAAACCTGTTCTGCATTGCTAGCAGAAAGAGCTTCTTGAGGAGAACATACATCAAAGATTGATGTGCTGGCATCATTTGAAATGGATCTCTGAATTTACAGCTGTTACCAGTGTATCAGTAACTTCTAAGATTAACTCAGTTGGGTGAGCAGCATATTTTAGTGGGTGCTACAAATACCTGTCTCTCTCCTCAGGATGAAAAATACGACCATCTAGATCCTGCTGAGATGGAGAAAGTTGAAAAATACATTAATGAGGCTATGAATTGGTTGAACAGCAAAATGAATGCCCAGAATAAACTCAGTCTAACTCAGGATCCAGTTGTCAAAGTGGCAGAAATACTAGCAAAATCTAAGGTAAAAAAAAAACAATTGTACTTGTTGAATTCTAATCAGTTTTTCCTGAGCCAGACTTTAGCCTAGATCTGAACTAGAATATTACATCTGCAGAGGTTTTAAAGCTATTAAAAGACCTATACAGAGGGAGCAGCAGTTACAGCACTCTTCATTGCTGGCTCTTGGTTTACGGTAGTTACCTCTGCACAATCCTTTTTAAAATTTCTATTTCTAGAAATTCTATTTCTAAAGTTTCTACAGAATGGGTTGTCATAGAGGTTTGTAACAAATAATGAAGTCCTCAGGTAGTGAAAGACCTTTTTTGAAGTTTATAGGCTTGATAGAATAGACAAGTCTGGTCTTTGATAATGAAACTCCAGGCCATTACGAACCAGAAACAAATTAGAGACGTTCTAGTTGAATGCAGTTGCTGTGCCACCAAATGACCTTGCTGTCTCACCTGTGTCACAACTAGGAACTGGATAGCTTCTGTAATCCCATTCTATCCAAGCCCAAGCCGAAGATAGAACCTCCCAGTGACGGGCAGCCCAAAGCTAACGGGGAGCACAACGGGCCAGTGAACGGACAGAGCGCTGCTGAAACAAAACCCGAACCAGCAAAGGACAACCCGCAGCAGACCAAACCCCCCGGAGAAATGGAAGTGGACTAAGACCTTGCATTTCTTTTACTTCATTAAAATAGTGCAAGTAACCACAGGGTCCATTCTTTTTGTCTGGTACACACCTCAGATGTTCAGTTACTCTTAGCCAAACTTCTGTCATTTGTTGCTGAGTAGTTTTGAAAGTGTTTTATATTAAGTACACCTCTGATGTTCATTTCCACTGATGCTGCTTATGTGGAGCTTTAGCCAAATGTAGATTGTATAAGTCAGTTGAAGCTTTCCCAATATATTTTATATCAAACATACAGAATTGATATATAAATGGCAACAATCTACCTTATTTAAAGCTTTTATTGTGGATAAACCTCAGCTCCTTTATTCAGGAAAGGATACTGTATTGCACTACTGATGCTCAAGTGTAGATCTAATCGCATCTTTATTTTGGAAAAATATTGGAATTGAAGTGGCAAAAGCTGTCACTTGAAGCACTGACCTTTTCTAGTTATTGTATTGTTATAATTTAAATATTAAAATAGAGGTTAGTTGGCATACCAGTCCATCTTGTTGATGTACCATGAGAATTGTACGGTCTTTTTCATAGGAACTGAGTAATAACGAGCTTAAGCGTTTTTTGGGTTCCCATGCCACTACCAGTCTTCATTACAAACTGCTCCAGCACGTGGCTCTGCCGTGTGCCGGAGTTCCTGGTCTCTGCACGTCGCTGTACATACCCTACTGCGCTTAGCACGGGGTGATGCTGGTGAGAACAGGAGGAAAGGGGAGAACATTCAAGGCCTGCTGTGTAGCTGTCCCTTGAAAATGTCTTATTGCACGTGGAACTACTTTCCACTTCTTTTGTTTCGAATTCAATTTACATCTTGATCGTATCTCGTCCTGGGGAGGAGAAACAGCAGAAACAGTGCTGTGTAAACTGGGTATCACCACCCTGATTTTGAGGTTGCTTAAATGCTGTTTGGTGCAAACTTGAAAGAAATGCTGAGAGCTTATTTAAGCCTTGATGCTCAGCACATAATTTTTTGGTCAAGGACCAAAACAGAAGAGCTTAAAAACTGGATATTCTTACCCCAAAGATGGAATCTGCTTGATGAACTTGCATAGCTTACCACTTGGCTTTGGTCATTTAGCTCTCTAATGAAAGTGTCTACAATGTATTAAACAGTAGAGTCACTGTTATCTTTGATACCTCTTAAACGTTGTCAAGGTCCAATGTATGTCCCAAATATATTCCAAATGCTTCTGTCGGTCACTGGGGTACTGCAGCACTTACTAAAGCCTGTCACTATTGACTCCAAACAGCTCTTCTGTTACCAGAGTGGGAATGGGCTACTCCGACTATGAAAAGTGGTTTCTTTACCCAGCATAAAAAACTGAAATAAGTTGCAGTGTATTGCTTCAGTGACTTGAACTCTGTCCTAGAAACAAGTCCAGATGTTAACCAGGCACTCCTACAGCAGTTCTCCTATAGGAGGTGTTGCTGTTGTAAACAAGAACTACAATCTTTCTGGCTTTGGCAGCTGTTTTATCTTCAGCTGTGCCCTTCATCTTCTACCACTTCATGCTACAAAAAGTGATTTGTGAGCCCTGGGAGAGGAGAATTCAACTCTCACATATCTTCACAGACAAAGGAACCATCATTTATGGCTGTACATAAATCTGCCTAGACCAGTTCAAGTACTGGAATTGTATCGTCATGACTGACATCAAGTGACTGAGATGCTTGTACTTGGCTCTCGTTCCTGTTCCTCTTCCATGCAGTCAGTGTGGATGGTCTGACACCTCAGTTGACATGTTTAATGCCCTTGAACTAAAACTGAATGACCTTGAGGAGAGCTATTCTGCAACCTCAGTCTTGAGTTCTGCCACAGTAGTCACACCTCTGGCGCTGTGGGGGTGACAGTACTGCAGCATCAGCTGTCCTTTGTCAGGCTGAGCTGGCTTTGGTCTCATAGGCTTTAAGACCATTTATATCCTAATGGCTTTTACCACAGCAGTGTAATGAGTAGCATTCTCAAGTACTGGCTTCTTAAAATCCAGCTACACAATAATTTGTCTAGGTAGACTTCTTGGTACCTGTGGCAGAAGAGCACAAACTGCAGAAATCTCCAGTGTCAGCTCTTCAGTAGCTAAAAGGTCATGTGCAAGAACAATGTCCTCTGCTCATGGCCATCAGATGCTTAATCTCACAGATGTCTGAGGCAATGCTTAGGTTAAAGGCTAGAATAATTTTGCACGCTCAAAACCAGATATGGTTCAGACAAACAGTTGTAGTCAAGTTTTCTTACTAGAATAGGGTTTTTTTGCTGTGCATTTGGTCTGTCTCTAGATCCCTGCTGAAGAGGAGTGCTGACACAGACCGCCCACAGAGGCTGGCTTTTGAGGTCCATGTTAGGAATCCCATTTGGGATGGCAGAGTTGATCCTTCCTCAGTGAGTTGACACTAATAGATGACTTGCTCGTATGTAATCTGGTTCCTGTTACAGAGATTTAAGTACTTACACACTATGCACAACTTGAGGTTTTGTGTGTCAGACTCAATGAGCAAGTTCCCTCTGCCTACCCTGACAGCACCAGAGTCTTTGCTACGTAACAGCAGGAATTGCTGATAATGATAAACTTGAAACTTTCTGCTGAGGGCAAGATACATTTCTGATATTTGAAAATGTTCCCTCTGTCCCACAAAAAGAAGAAAAAAGGAAGCAACACTATCTTTGTAAAGGCAGTAGAGTTCGTTTAAAAAACAAAAGTGTTGTAAATCAAGTTCTAAAGTTTCATGTAAAGATCTGATAACAAGCCAGTATAAATACATTGTTTCGTTTTACCAGTAAGTTTCCTTCCCTTTAAAGAGGACTTCTCTCCTGTCTGGAGCATTAATGAACTTGCTCAAGAAAGGACTTCAAAATTAATTTAATTTTCTTTACTAAACTAAGTCTAGTTTAGAGCTGAATCATGAGTTCCTGTACACTTTTTGTATTGCGGTACGTTAGAAGTTTCTTTGAACTTCATTCAGATGTAACATAAACAGATTTGTAACACTTAAGTTAGGGTTTTATGCTCTCCTTTCTTGAAGCTGCTGCTTCATGACAAAATACCCCTTGATTCTGAATGAAGGTTTTGATTTTGTTGTTGTCTGAATTTGAATGAAGACTCCTCTCCCTTCCTGGCTTCTGGCAGTGTCCTTGCAGTGCTTAAATACTGCCTTTGGGGCAGGCTTGCAAAACACGGAGTGGTGAGCAGCTGGGTCCTGAATGCTCACAGGCAGTTGGGGAACACCCAGCCTGTGTCCCACAGCCTGTATTCCCGCTCTGCCTCCCACAGCCCCGGGGCAGAGTGAGGGGGAAGGTGCCCTGTCCCTGGCACCGCAGCACAGGAGGGCAGTGCAGTGTCTGCCGTGCAGCTCCAGCATCCTGGACCCCTTGTGGTCTGTGGGATGGAGGCTTTGCTTCTCCCACCTACAAGTGGAAGATACTGATGTACAGCATCCAATCTGTGTGTTGATGAGATTTCTTTGTATCTTCAGCACTGGAAGTTCCTTAATATTTTCCAACATCTCTGTGTGCTGAACTCCATCTCTCCTACGGATTGCTAATAACAGTTCTCAAATACCCCATATTTAAGTGGGGGTTTTCCTGTAGGGATTATGGAAGCGTAATTTCAGGAAACAAGCAAGGAGCTGGCAGGAGGTTTTTCTTCCCAATTATTTTTTTGACATCAGTGTAAAAAATGAACAGCCTTAACAAAGCTTGGGATCTGCACTTCTCAGAGCTCTGGTTTTTCATGCCTGTCAGTTAACCAATGCTAGCATCCAGAACATGAAGCCATGCTGCAAACACGCTGCATTTGCTGGTTCAAAGCACCTGCCCAGCTGCTGTAGAAGCTAAATTCAATTCCTGTAGATCGGTGCCATCATGAACCTCATTCCTTAAAATAGGACTTTTCATTGCTGTGTAATCAATCACACTGTAATACTTCCACGCCTCTGTGAGCCCTTCTCAAGTGAAGCTCAGATGCCCAAACTTGAGTTGTGGGCTGGCATAAGGTTTGCCTGCTCTAAGGATGCTTATTCTTAATTGCCACTAGCTGTGAGTTTATTAACTGGATGGAGAAATATTCTATTGCCTCTTACACTTCTGCTACTCTTTAAGTTTTTTCATCATTCAGGCACCAGGAGACAGAAACTCTCAAAAGAGGTGGTAAAAAACATGTTTAACAAAAGGCGTTAATGCCTCATAAATTTTAATTTCAACTCCCAAGATAGCGGTTGGGAGTATAAACACAAGCTCTTAGTAGCTACAGAACGTCTGTAGTGGTGGCTGACTCCTAGCTGAATTCTTAATTCTCTCTGGATGAAATTTGAAGACTTCAACCACTTACTACACCTGTATATAACAGTGAAAATAACTAATTGTGACTGTTGGCACTGCAGAATACTAAACCAGGAATGTGCTTGATGTGAGTTACTTGATACAGCTGTTAAAATTTGGATTCCTTCTTTCCTGGTCAGAAGGAAATACATCAAGCAATGAAAACCAGGATTCATTGCAGTGAAATCCATCAAGAATCATTTTAAACAAGAATAAAATTGAGCTATACCCACCAGCCACCTCTGGCCACTTGGTCAGCAAAGTGTTGAAATAGTTTAATTAGGTTGATCAAAAAAGGTGGTAGTCCCTGAATGTTGCAGTGGTTGGAAAAGTTTCTTTCCATAGTCGATAACCATATCTCCATGGGTTGAGGGGGGGAAGAGATGGGAGAGTCAGAATTTAAAGCGGTGTTTAAGTATGGAAAATGTTTACGATGTATGTAAATGGGATTCTTAGTAGTGACAGATCATGTGCAAATTGACAAGACTTCAATTTATTTTTGAATGGCAATATAGATTGTCAAGGTTGTGTATAATGATAATAAATATATAAACCGCTACTTGAACCATAAATGACCACCCCAGACCTCATTTTTGCATCAGTGTTCTTAAAAGCAGCTTTGTCTGATGTCCTGGGTGGATACAAGGTGTCACATCTCTGCATTTGGATGAGCACAAATTCCCAAGTTTCCAGGAATTCGTCTTTCATGAATGACTTACTGCAACGTACAAGTTTAGTTTTCCTGTGCCTTGAACTGCTGGGGGAAATCGATGGCTTGGGGCACAGTTGATTTTCTGAGCAGATGTGGAGGTGCAGCTGGAAAGCAGCAACCAGCGGATTCCTCCAGGAATTTTTCAATGTGCTGGCAGTGTAACAGGAATCCCTGTGTCCTCCAGCAGCATGCAATGACTGTAGAATTCTGCATAACCAATATAAGTGCACAAAAACAACATGATTCAACATTTTTATATCCATCAGTACACTTCAAAAGTGCCTCCAAGTCTGCATTCCAGGCTTTGCATTCTTAGATCTCAGTAAATAATAAAATATTTCAGCTATATTAATTTCACAGGCCAGGTTTGGGATTTAGGGGTGGGGAAAGGTCCTATTGAAAAAACTGTATCTATTTACACGTATATACATGCACATACATAGTGCATGTGTAAAAATGTACAACTAGAAATCAGCTTGATACCTACCTTACCAGTACAGGGGGAAATCCTGCCCTTAACCTACTCTGCTGTCTCAGCATCTCAGACCACTCAATCAGCCCCTTCACGCTCCAGGTTTAGCTGTGTTCACCACCAGGAAAAGTATCCCATTGTCACACAGCAAAAGGACTGTTCTAGCAAAACAAGGTGAATGTTGAAAGAATCACAGAATATCCTGAGCTGAAAGGGAGCCACAAGGATCATCCAAGTCCAAGTCCTGCCCTGAAAGAGGACACCCCAGCATTCCCACCGTGTACCCTAGAGCATGGTCACAATGCTTCTTCAGCTCTGCCAGGCTTCGTGCTGTGGCCACTTCCATGGGGAGCTTGTTCAGTGCCCAGACACCCTCTGGGTGAAAAACCTTTTCCTGTCATGCAACCTAACCCTCCCCTGACACAGCTTCAAGACATTCCCTCAGGTCCTGTCAGCTGAAGGTAGCCAGCTAAAACTCAAGGAATTAAAAACATAGCCACAATTTAAGGCTAATGTTAATGTTTCCATCAAAATACTGAAATGTATTGTGAGGCCCTAGATTTCAAATTTTGCCTGAAAACCAGCTTCTCTGAATTGTAATACCCTAACACTGCCTCAAGGGACTGGCTTGGTGCAGTTTCAGGGAGAAACAAGCGGCTTGCAGAATAAAAAACAATTTATTCATAGGGACTGTGTTTGTCAAAGAGCTTCTGAAACGGGAGTGTCCTCTGTGATCATTACCATGGCTGCAACTAAATATTATCCTTTACTTTCTCAGCTTAACTCTGTCCTACATTCTTCATTCTTCCTACAAATATCAGTGTGCTCTTCCTTTTATGAGGCTAATTAGATTTTCAGTAGTGCTGAAGCACTTGCAAATAGAAGAAGAAAATGACACCTTCTACAGCAAATACAACATTTACAAACTACTGGTCAAGAGCATTTCACTTGCACATTTCTTCGGAAAATAGCCTTATCCTCACATCAGAGAACATCCCAGGGAAAAAGCTGAACATTTTAGAAGCATTGAACAGACAAAAGTAAATGTGGGTTACTACTTATGCCTCTGAAGAACAGTGAAATTAAATGATTCATTCAAGTCACAAAGTATCTACCACAGGGCAGCACAAAAAATGCTACATTCCTGGAAAGGGAGCCAACACCACCAGGAAGGCAACACACCAGCACAAAAATCTTAGGCCAGAGCTTTGAGTTCCTCCTGTGGAGTATGGCAGCGACCAGCAGAACTACTCCTGGAAAATAAAATGACAAAACAAAACAGGGAACATTGTCTTGACAGTGCTACAGGAAGATGAAGTGGCCCAAGAAGTTTCCTTTCTCAACCAAAAACAACCTTTCCCATTTTACTTGCTCTTTGCACATCTTTCATATGTTCCTGCTGCAATAAATATTCCCCACCTGTTCCATCATCTACCTGCACTGCCTTGTCTACAATATCAAGGCAGGACAAAATACTCTTATATGGTGATTTTAACATAGAGAGTGGAGATGGAAAATGAATCCAAAGATCACTCACTCTGTTTATGATGGCATTTCTAAACCTGTACTTTGCAAAGTCACTGATGAAGTAATCACACCAGCTCTTGCAAGCTCATTAAGTGAAAATTACAACCTACTCACAGGTATTTCAGAAAACTCAGTGGTGTTACCTTTGCTGGCTTTGAGTGCTAATTTACAAAGAATAAACAACCCAGCTTATCTCTCTGTTGCTTTTTCAAAAGCATTTCCCTTTTGCTTGTAATACCAAGTTCACAAACAACAAGAAAGTTTACCAGGCTGGACCTTAGAATGACAGAGGTGTCATTCAGTAGTATTCAGAGTATTTGGTGAGTCAAACAGAAGCAAGCTTCTACCACAGATAACTTTAATTTTCTTTCACATTACAGGAAGCATGAAATACGCATTCATCTCATTTGACTATATTTAGTAGAAATATAAAATGTATCTAAATTCACTAAGTTGCCAAGACTGCGGAAATTGTAAAGATAATTACTCTAAACTTTTAAATACACAAATAGAGTATTTGCATTTGTTTTTGCTTGCAAGAAAATAAACAACCATAGACCAATTTGCTAAATTCTCGTGATAGCTTTTTCAAGACAAACTAACTGAGCTCAGACAACATAAGCGTATTTTTCAGTATCATCCTGGGGGTGGAACAAGCCATTAGAGAAATATTTTGTATTGCTTTCCTTTAATATCATGTCAGAAATACACACCACAACAACCAGCTTGCCCCAAAAAACAGCAGTTATAAATGTCATTTGTCTTAATATGCTAAACTGTTGATCAAGATCTTTTGTAAACAACTGGAAAAATGCAAAAATTATACCTTTATGCTCAGGTGATGTTTTGTTTTCATGGATAACATCAGTAAACCAATTTTCAAAGCCAGAGGAGCAGACATGTATCCTGACAGTGAAGTAGGAACTGAAAAAAAAGGAGATATGATTACCCAAGGGATTCATCTTCTTTGCAAATCCAGCTGCTTGCTTGGTAACTAAGTGCTAGTTACAGCTAAAAATTTACAAAAATTACTGCAAAGGGAGTCAATCAAGATTTCCAACAGAATAGCCTGGGGAAATAATGAATAGTTTTGTATTTAAGTTGGGTTTTAGCTCTAGGTATCCAAATAGCAGTGTTGCTACACTGAGAAATCTGTCCTTGGGTTTTCAGTTTGTCTCACTTTGCAGGGCAGAACATCACTCATAAGGGCACATGATGCAAGTGCCAAGCCATGAGTATCTGCACTGATCTGAAACTCCTTCAGCTGTGCTGTGATAATGTTATTTTCACTTTGGGGTAAGGAATTCTTCTCACTGATGTGAGCTTGTGCAGACTGTGTGATGGATTTAATGATAATTCCAGACCAAGATAGGTCCTCTTAATAAAAAATTCAAATACTGAGGCCACCCTTTTTCATGGAATTTATTTTGACTTGCAAAAGTTTTCTCTTTTCGAAACTATCACTTAGTGCTCACAGGTGCAGTACAGTCAAAAGAGTCACAGAAAAGGCATCTGGAAAAACTTGCACAGGGGTTCGTGTCCTGCTCAGGAACAGGGCACGGTGTGGGGCTGTGCTCCACACAGCAACAAATACAGACACCTACAACAGGGGCACCAGCCAAATTAGCAAATCATTCCAATGACCTCATTGTTTCCATAACACAGGCATGATGTCAGCCTGGCTCCAGTGCTAAATCACTGACTAAGCTCACCCTTGCTATCTACAGAGACAGGCTCCACTACACCACACAAAGTTACAAATTCTGTAACTTCATTAAGATGGACAAAAGATGGTGGGGGGGGGAAGCTTCTGCTGGCATAAATGGTAAAGTACCACTGGGCTACCAAATGCTGCCATTCTAGTTCAACACAATCAGTAAAAACAAAATACTCATCTGTCTTTGACAGCATTAACACAAGCAACACAATATTCTTGTAGCATAGACTTAAGGCCTCTGCTGCAGGGCCAGTAACTTCATAGGAGGGTTCAAAGTTGGAATGTCTATAAAAATGTGTTAGTCATTGCAACAAAGCCTTCTGCCACACCAAGGATTTTACTCAAAACAGATTATATTTAATAACCAGCTTCTCAGAAACAATCATTCTTTCAACAAACTGTTTTTTTCTTCACTTACATTACAAATGACTTCCCTCCAGCCACACTCCTGAAATAAGGATGGAACATGTTGTCAGTTTTAGAGATGAGTAAACTAAATGACATGGCTAACAAGTTTGACTTGTTTTTTTTAAAGATACAGATTTAAATGAAAAAATTCCTTCTCTGAAATAAATTGAATTTCACTACCGAAGAAGTAGGGGAGGTGAGCAATTTTTCCACATCTTTTTTCTTGATCAGCACAGCAGTGACACAGTCAGTCCCAGGATGAAGAAGTTTTCAGTTATTTTTTTCTGTCTGAAACATGTTCCCTCTGGAGAACTCCCCATCATACAGACAGATGAGAGCCACAGCCCCTTTCTGTGTGAGACAAAGCATCACAAGTGATCCAAATCTCAAGATATTTGTTCAACTCCCAGCCTGTCTCAACACAAAGACACTGCCATCTGAAATCACGTTTCCTCTGAGCATGATGAAGAGAAAAATGCCATTCTCCTGAGCAGCCACATGAAGAATCTGAAGTGGAGAAAGTTTTTTAGGAAAAAACCACCCAAAACCTGGGCTACTGAAAGTGAAAACAGAGACTGTACTGCACTGTAGCTATGTTACTGTTAGTCAGACTTCAGCAATAAACATGCCATGGAAAATTCCCAAGGAAACCAGTCCAGTGCCCCTGGTAGGAGAGAATATCAGGGAGGAGAACTAGGAGCCCAATAATTAAAGCTGAGCATAGGCTTTTGCTTAAGAAAGGAGTTTCAAAGCTAAGTTTTGAACACACTGCTTCATGTACCTCCAAACTTCAGCCATATTGCAAATATACCCCTGCCAGTTTGAAACTGCCTTGTTTGAGTCCTGGAGCAGCCATAGCAGCACACAGCTCAACACAGGCTACTTAATCCTCAAGCACAGGCCCAGCCTCAGGCTCCAGTAAAACCAGGCACACATGGTTGTAAGAGAAGCAATGCAGATGTGAAGCAATTAACTCCAAGTACTTCTGAGACTGAACATGCAGGGGGAAAAAAAAGCTAATTTCACTGGGGTGGGGGGAAACATTATTCTGATTGTTCCTCCTATTCAGTATGAGCAAGGCTTATATTGAATATTATTCAATATTTCACTAGTTCACTAGTGTCAACTAGCTGCAAGTGTCACGGAAGAAATGTAACATCCCTGCTTTTGAAAAATCTAAATCCCAACCTAGGAATCAAATTGCACCTTTGTACAAAGCTATATAACTCCTCTAACTTCAATGGAACTACAGCTGCTTATGTTTAGAGCTGAAAATAGTGCACTCCAGTTTCTGTCCTTGGAAAATGCTGTCCTATGATTGCTTCAGAGGAGTTGCATGGCCTTCAGGCACTTCAAATTTATTTTCAGCTAAGATGATGGGAAATAACCACATTAATTTAGCCAGTGATTGGTTCTATTGTAAAAACTGACCGAAATCTTATTTTCTTTTCCTAAGCTCCTCTTATTTTAAAGGAAGAGGAAGCTGAGGTTGTTATAGCCCAGCAGCTAAGTGAATGCCACAGGTTGTCTGGGATCCCAGGAATACAGCAATGGTCACTTCAGCTTGTTCATTCCTACAACAAAGCTTCTGTGCTTCATGTGACAGAAGGTAATGCCTGATGGCTGAGTGAATAATCCTATATATTCACATTACCAATAAACACACCTCATACTGTGCTGCACGTGACAGGTATGTATGACTCCTCCTTCGCTGCATGTGTGAAGCATAAAGACAGAGTAAATCCACTCATTCTCTTCAGAAGAATTAATTAATAGTTCTACCAAGGCAGATTAACTAATTTTTTTTACCCAGGATGTTCTAAAAGATCTGTACTCAATAAGATGTGGGCTTTATAATTCTAAAAGACTGTTGAGGTATGAATGCTCCATTCATTTAATATCAAAACTGTTTCTTACTGTATCTTCCTGCATGGAGACAATAAAGTGCCATTCAAAATCCACTTGTTTTCTTTCCAGAGGTCTTTTTGCATTCTGTGGAACATGGGCAAGCTTCATGTGCTCACAGTAAGCTCAGTGTACAGATAAGTGCTAATCCCCGAGTTCTGAAAACATATATAAGAACAAATGCTAATTAGAAAAAGGATTAAAATATAAGACAGTAATTACCGCTGCGTAGTTCAATAAGGCTTGGAAACACCATTAACAAAGGAATTGTGCCTAAGGGAGCAGTCCAGCTCTGCAAGCAAGACTAGATGTCAACACTGGCAGCTACACCCACTGCTGGCAATTGAATATTCACCAAGGGAGGCCAAGGAAAATTCCAGCGAGCACCTAAATAAACTTTCAGGAAGGTGGAAACAATGCTGGCGTTGGGCAAGGATAAAAACAACAGACCAGTGAATCCTCAGACAGCACAGCACACTGAGTGTACACTTCACCAATGCCTATCTGCAGGGCTGCAGTTCCAGTGACTGTGGCACTCAGCTGCCAAGGGACAAGGCAAAGGAACACGGGTGAAAAGGTTTACAGAGCAGAAGACAAACAGGTAAAATTCCACCTGAGGATAAATTGGAGAGCAGCATCGCCTCTGGATATTGTGATGCTCAAGACAGAGAGAGAAATAGTAGACTGAAGCCTTAACATGAATAAAATGCATTGGCAATAAATTGATGCTGCAGTCTTCTCATTTTTCCAGGCTGAATTCAGCTCAGATTAAGCCTGAGGTGGAATGTGCCTTGCATAAGCAAAAAACGAAGCATTTTTTAGTTTGGTTTGGTTTTTTTCCCAGGTTATTTTCTGAGTCATAGAAGAACACTAAATTATTTGGCTAGATTGTAACATGGAGCACAAAATAAATTTTACAGACAATAGAGGTGTGGATAATAATCATAAGGAATAGGTCATTTGCTCCTAATGGAGCACAGTCATAGCCAAAACTTTTAATGAGTTTTACTCCAAGCTTCAGCATAATCAAGACATAGAGGTTTTGTTCCCACAAACTTTGTCCCAGTGCCTTTTAAGATAAAGTATGTTAGTGAAAACCCTTTTTTCTGCTCATCTGTTATATTTAACTTTAGAAGCAGGGTATGAAGACTGCAGACCACTGCAAAGAGTGAACATCCAGCAAGTGCATTCCAAAATTCATGATCAAACCAGACTGAAACAAGCACCTGGAAATGAATTGTTACTGAGAGAAATTTTGCTTTTCACCACTCAAGTTTCTATCAGACAGGTGATTCTAAATGACAAGAGCAAGGTTTCTCAACTCTGAAAGCAAAGCTGAAAGGTGAGCTCCAAAGCATTCATGTGGGTGGGCACAAAATCAAAGCAAATTCTCATTTGATAAAAATTGATATTCTTTGTAGAAGCGTAGAATTCAATTTAGTGAAAAACAGACAGAAGCAGCCAAATCTCCATGATCATGTAATTTCCCTTGAATAAAGAAAACTAACAAAAAATACACAACAAACCCATCACAAATATAATCTGGATTGGGTTCAATTTTGGTTTGGGTAAATCACTCCTTCCTTGACCAAGTTTTCCAGCATTACCATCCAGAATGAAGAATATGGAAGAAAACAATCTGTAACTACCTGGAAAGGGCTCCTCTTTCACAGGGTGGCCCTGATAAATAGGAAAACAAAACAGGCATTTCAATGGTGTTAGACATGAAAAATACCCCACTGAAGTTTTGTGTCTGTGTAACTACGAAGTGAAATTTTTAAAAATAAATTGTTCTTGACAGGAGGAGTTGGCAACAGAATTGCACTGGCTCTCTCATGTTGCTGACACACCCTGGCAGGCTCACAGGACTGGTGGGTGCTTGTCCTGCTGTGCCAGCTGCAGTGCCGCTGAAACGCAGCCTGCACAGGCACGCTGCTGGTGAGCTCATCCCTGAGGTCACAGCCATCTCCTTTGCAGATGCTGGGTAAGGCAAGGCACCATTTATTCAAATACTTAGAATAGAAAGTTAACATATCAAAGCAGAATCAGACAGGGCTCCTTTCAACATCTTCCTGCACCACACCTTGTCTTAAGAGAGTAAATGATGCGCTATGTGGTTCATTTCCTTTCCTTCCCTTCACCTGATCTCAAGCTGAATTTGTTATTTCTAGCATCCTTGCATACTGAGGCAGTCATAAGTGAGAGTAGTTATGCAAAATTAAAAAAAAAAAAAGAGAGGTAAACACACTACCAGTGCTCTTCCTTCTCTTCAGTGTAGACAACAATGTAGTCTGACTGTCTGCTCATGGCAGCTGCAGCAGAGTAACTCAAAGATTTCTTTATTTCTCTCTAAGTTTGAGCATGTTTTAGTCACATGTGGGGCAAAAGGCAAAACTTTGGAACCCAAATGACAAATATCATTTAATAATTGCTGCAGAATCAATTAATTCTGTTTTTTAGATTGTAGAACATGTTGATGGTGTGACAGACAAAATAAACCAGAGCTACTATAAATAAAGCAGGGTCAAATCAAGTAGGAGATTCCCAAGTGGGTTTCAGACACTTCACTGGGGTGGGATAAAAAGTCCAGACAAGAGAGAGTCAGACTAAAATATGGAGAAGTGTGCTTGTATGATTAGAAGAAGAAATATTACAGAATATAGTCTCAATGTGACAAAACAGTTCAGCAGTTTAAAAGAAGCTCTGTGATAGTCCTTGTCACAGATACACTGAGACAAAGAGGGGTGGCACTACTTGGAATCTGGACTAGCAAAATGGCAACTAAAAGCCCCCCATTTATAAAAAATAATCACAGAGCTCCCCTTTATGCCTCAGTTCAGCAAAAATACAATTCTTTGAAGTGTGGAGAAAGCTTAGATTTGTTATAAATCTAATCTGTGTTAAATATTGAAATATTTAATATATTAATCTGTGAAAATACTTTAATCTGTGTTAAATATTGAAAATTTAGAAGACCATTGATGGCCCTCTTATAAAAACATGAGGGCTGGAAGAATTTGCTTTATTGATAACACAGAATTAAAAGGCTTCATAAAACCAGAGGGCTGGGTATCCTAGATGATGAATCAGATGACTCCCAGAATTTCAGTAACAGAGATGAAATAAAATGCAGTAATACACATTGAAGGGTCATGTGTGGATTAATAAAAAATAGTTATGCTATAAGAAGATGTTTCTAAATTTGAAAAATGGTAACAATGGAAGGATTTGAATGCCATTGTCATGAAGACTATTGTAAACTGCCAGTATAACAAGACTGAAAAAGTAAAATGTGATCTTCCAAAGTACCAGGAGAAGTATTTCTACTAAAAGAATAGCATCAGTCACTAAGTGTTAATTTGATACCAGCAACTCATGTTGATAAAAATATGGATTTGTTATACAGGAAAAAAGAAAAGAAAAGCTACAGATTGACCTGGGGAACAGGAAACATAGCACATGCTAGGAGAGTAAAATAGCTTGGCTTGTTTATAGTGGTGAGATAAAGGCTTTAGGAGGTCAGAAATGTTGTTTATAAGATGCTATTATAGAAACAGACACTGGCACCATGTGCACTGTTAAACCAGACTGTTCCAAAGCATCGCTTTGACCATTGCTCTGCTGTGTAACTACCTGAGCAGTGTAAACACAGTTCAGAACAAAGTGTGAATAGGAAGCGTTGTTCTCATTCAATAATTTTCATGGTGCTCAAATTACAAAGGCACACATGAAAAATGGCACACAGCGTGCTTAGCTAAAGAAATGAAGTCTTGGCAAAATGGTGACAGGAAGGGGCAGAGGGGAGCAATTTATCTGTGAAGCCACCAGTTGCCTTATTGAACTCTTCCTTCTTCTCCTTGAGCAAGAAACAAACCTTCAACATACCACAACCTAATTTTTCAGAAAATCAACAACTAGGCCTTACTTCTGGTTTCTTTGCCAAAAAGGATCCATTGTGATCATGGTTTAGTGGGAAGGTTAATTTTCTGGAACAAAACAATGAGTCCATTTCCACTTGGAAATAACACCAGGAATCAATGTCCATCACAAAAGTAAAATGTCAGGAAGAGTGAATTCTTCATGACACTTGAGTGAAGAAAGGAGAGGAGAAAAGTGTAAAATCAGGGTAATTTTTTTTAAAATTCCTAGCAGCCAAACAGAAGCCAGGGCTGATGGATCATTACATGCACACAACTCATCATCTACCCAGGACACACCAGCAATGTTTTCAGTAAGATTCAGCTTCTGTTGTCTAGACTGGCACTACCAGATAGATCCAAGAGACAGCTCCCCTCCATCTGTCAAAAGTAGCAATAAGAAAGAAATATACCTATGGGAAATATGTGAAACTACCTGTGCCATGAACCTTGTGGCCAAGATGCAAGCAAAGCTGCAGAGCAACCAACAGCAACTTATTACAATTTGTAAAATATAACTTTATGCTCCCATTTGCTTTTTATCATCCTTCCTACTCAGTTCCTTTTTACTTTTGTTGCTAATCAGACTGCTCCACTTGATGAAGTATATCCTAAAGCTTCACTTTTTGGTCATGCAATAAAGCTGAAGGAAGGCCTGCGTGCTCTCTTTAAAGGGAGTCCTATTTCTCTCTTAAAACTCTTTAAAGAAGACTTTATGATAGCATTTTTTTCAATGCTTAGGCCTTGAGAACAAGGATAGGTATCTGTGCTCTCTGATGAAAAGGGATAGCAAAGGATTTGTTACATCGTTGGTTTGTCTCACAAGCTCTGCTCACAGCAAATGCTGACCCCTGCAGTCATAAATACAACCCAACAACAGAATTCCTTTTTAATGAGACAGAGGAAAGCATCATTTCACTGCATGTTGCAGGCTGGACAATCAGAGGAGGTGCAGCTTCATCACTCTTCAGGTAAATAATCTAGCCTTGAAATTAAATTGAAAATCTCCTTTTTACTAATCTTCCACCCTCGATACACAAGCCAGTGATGACTGTGAATGTTCCACAGCTCCACAACCCGGGTCCACTTAATCACTCACACAGCTCCTGGTTTACCTGTAAGGATTCTCAGCGACTGACACAAACACTTACCCACAATCCATTTTACACCCACCAAGGAATGCATGAAGGAGAAAGTGCAGCTTGATTACAAGCCACCTCTATATTTTATTTCAACAATGAAAGCTGGCAGGTCATGGGGGAACTGCTCGAGTTTACAGCCACCAGCTGGCAAACACTGGAGAAGGTGAAGTGCTAAATCACTCCACCTCCTCCTTGCACCCTGGATGCCTGCTGTAGCGAAAATAATTTTGGGAGCATGGAACAGAAGGAGCCAGCAAGATGTTTATGAGGTGGGATAATTCAGAGGGCAGGCTAAACAAATAAAAACCAATAAAAATAACAGTCTTTTCCCCAGCCCAAACCAATTAATTGATGTGTTTTACTGTGTAGCTACATGAACAGTACTGTCACACAAAAGGAGACACAGAGCTTCAGCTTGTGTAAACAGTGCTGCATCTGAACATCAAGAAAGAAATAAAAACACAACTGAACAACCAGTTGAAAAATAAAGAACGGGGGGAAAAAAGCATTACTAAAAACTGGGGAAAATTTGTTCTGTGCAATGGACTGCCACCAGCTTACTATAGGGATTGAGTCTAAATATTGCTTGAAGGCATGCTCGCCCAAAAATGAATTTAATTTTTAATAGAGCAGCTACAGATAGAAAAGTACATGAGATTGTAATCAAACTGCTGAGGTAATGGAGCTTGAAGATGTTCCCTCACATTTTAAATTCACCTTAACTACAGTAAGGAAATTCATCAATGACACCTGGCATCCAGCAAAGGCATCTGGCCCATAAAAATTAATTCATTACAACTCTGCTGCTTTGTTTCACATCAGCCATGAAGTGCTGTAGACCAGGTCTAATCACTGCTGTGACAAAATAAACAAAAGTTAAATGAAGGAACCAAAGGACATGTGAGAATCTCTATACATGGCTCCAGGATTTTGTTTTACACTATATTTTAGATAAAACACACTACAAAAGACTCAATACTCAATACTTTTAAAGTCACATACAGGCATATCACTCAGAGGTCTGCCCAATAAAGTGTGAGCACCTCAGATTAAAGAAAGATTTGCGTCAAGAAGAGCATGCTAAGCACAGGTGATGGAATGAGGTTCATTCCTGGTTATCTTCACTTGGGTTTTTCTTTAAACTCACAGCTCAGAAATTATTTCAGAAGAAAAATAGTTGGAAATAGCTTTTTCAGAAAATCAAACAAGGTACTTGGGAATTAAATCCACAAAAGGATGAAAGCAGCTGCTCTACCTCTGCCTCTCAGTTTTTCCTGACACTCAGCACACCTCCTTTTTGTTGTCAGAAAAGACAATTCAAAGAAAAGCTCTGCTGTATTCAAACAATAATTCCAGCAACTATCACCACAAAACGAGCACAATTCCTGTTTGGAACTCCTTCTATTAATCTGGAACACAGTAACAGAAGCAGGTATTTTGCAATACCTTTGAAAAACGTTAATGACCCAAGAGGAATATGTTTTAAAAAAACCAAAATTACTTGCAGCTGAAAGCAGTGTCCTTCGGGTCAGTATTGAGGTCAATACAGTTAAATGTTTTGGTAGGTGACATGGACAATGGGATCAAGTGCACCCTCAGCAAATTTGTTGACAGCTCCAAGCTGTGTGGTGCAGTCAACACAGTGGAGTGAAGCAATGCCACCCAGAGGGACCTCCACAGGCTTGAAGGTGGGCTGAGGGAAACCTCGAGGAGTTCAACAAAGTGCCAGGTCCTACACCTGGGTCGTGGCAATCCCAGGCTGGGCAGAGAAGTGACTGAGAGCAGCCCTGCAGGGAAAGACTTGGGGTGATGATTGATAAAAAATTCAGCTGGCAGTGAGCCCTCACAGCCCAGAAAGCCAAGGAAATCCTTGGCTGCATCCAAAGGGTGGCCATGACTGGCATGGTCAGCAGTTCAAATGAGGTGATTCTTTCTCTCTGCTCTGGTGAGACCCCACCTGGAGTGCTGCTGATAGTTCTGGTGTCCCCAACATAAGAGGGACACAGAACTGTTGGAGCAAGTCCAGACGAGGGCCACGAGGCTGGTGAGGACTGGAGCACCTGCCCTGTGAGGACAGGCTGAGAAACTTGGGGCTGCTCAGCCTGGAGAAGACAGAGTGGAGACCTCAGAGTAACCTTCCAGTGTCTGAAGGGAGCCGATAAGGAAGCGGAGAGGGACTCTTCATCAGGAACTGCAGTGCTGGGGCAAAAAGCACTGGGTATACCCAGTGGTGAAAGGGGGGAAATTGAGGTTAGATATTAGGAAGAAATTTTTCACTGCGGGGGTGAGTAGACACTGGAATAGGCTGCCCACGGAGGCTGTAGATGCCCCATTACCAGCAGTATTCAAAGCCAGGCGGGGTAATGCCCTGAGCAAATTGATCTAGGGGGTGTATCCCTGCCCATGACAACCGGGGTTGAGGACCAGACAATCCTCAGGACAACCCCTCAACATTCCAGGAACTCCCCAACCCCGGGAGACGCGGCTCACACCCCGCGCCGCCGCGCGCACCCCTCAGAGCGCACGCGCTGTAACGGCTGCCCGGGCCGGCCCCGCCCCGCGCACGCGCCGCAGCTCCTCCCTCCGCCCCCAGCTCGTCC